GGTATTATTATATCCTATTTTAAATTAGCACTTAATGTAAAAACATTTGAAAATAAGTATTTGGATTGCGTTTGCCATACGGCTCACTACTTAACGACCCGGCATGAAAGGTTTTATTTTCAATTGACAAAGACTCATTTTTATAAACTAATCTAAGTTAGCCAGTAAATCAGCTTTTCCTATTATTTACTTATTATATTTTTTTGATCAATATAAAAAGGAACAAATGCTTATTATAGGTATTAATTTATCTAAACAAGATATTTTCAAGTTAATTATGAGGTTTTTTTACGTGTTTAAAAATATTTTAATTGAATAAGAAATGTCTTTATGTATTATTTAAAAAAATATTTTAAATGGTGGCAAGGACAGTTAAGTTTCGGAATTAAATAAGTAGGGAAACTTTTTAAGTTGAACAAAAATTGCCATCGTCAATTTGTTAGTTAACATACATCCCTACTAATATTATAAATGCGAAAGTAACTCTGTCTGTCTGTCTGTCTGTCTGTCTGTCTGCTACGCTTTCACGCCTAAACCACTGAACTGATTTTAATGAAATTCGGTACAGAGATAGAGTTGACCTTGAGAAAGAACATAGGATAGTTTTTATCCCAGAATTTTGAAAGGTTCTCTTGGAAACGCGATATAACCGAACTCCACGCGGCGAAGCTGCGGGCGGAAAGCTAGTTTTATATATTTTAAACATTTTATACATTTTAACAACCCAAAAATATTTAAATAAAATAAGTCATTTGTTTAAGTTTTCGATTACACATACCCTAAAGGATTATAAACTATTAAAGTTAACAGACTCAGACATCAATCATTTCAGATTCATTATTAACTTATTGAGCCGATAAAGCAGGATGTTGCAAGTTACAATGTGAGTCATTATACTTAGTTGTCGACGACCCTTTTCTTATTTTGGAGATGCTGCTAAAAATAAATGGTTTTTATGTCAATATCTATACATTGGAAATAGTAAATTTAATGTTAATTAACTTTATTTGTAACATTAGGCTTGTCTTTCCGAAAAATATATAGCTTAATATTCTGGATGGAATATTAGCCAGATTACCTACTTTGTTGTTCCTCGCACCACTTTCTTCAAAGCGATATCTTTTGTGTTTATTAGCTACCTGAGGCTTAATGGAATGCCTATCATGGATTTCATTAAAATATCTAATATTAAACTGGTGGTACTGTTAAATGGTTGAGGGAGATACTTTAATTATTTTTTAAACCGCTGATGATTTATGGTCTCATCCTTTTTTTTATTATGAGTTCCTAATATGATTGATCAGTGTGTGTACTTTTACACTAGGATTGTTGGAAATTTTCAGTGCTGCTGCGACCTTTTAGGGTCCAAGGGTGTCGGTATCGGTAGAATTTAGTAGCATCGATGACTCTCTAAATTCTAAAATCTTATTTGTTTACTTTAGAAAGTGATCAATCATAAGAAATCGGAACGGTAATAGCGCTCGCTTCTGACTGAAGTCTCTTTTCCTTATCCTACTACTGTCATTGAAGTGGTAATTGGACAATATTTATAATTACGGGATTGACTTCAGCCCAACCTCCAAACTTCTTTCAAGAAAATTGATGTGTGAATAATTATGGATACATTAAAAAAAAAAAACATAAAATTGCAATGTAAATTAATTTCCAAAAAAATTCTGTTCCAACTCAATTGTAACTAATGCAGTAGGTTTCCTACTTCATAATTAATTCATTATTATGAAGTAGGAAACTACTTCAGTAGGTAGGTAATCCTACTTCATAATTAATTCATTTCAAATATTATTTTGTTTGACAGAAATATTTACAAATTTTTGTTATAAAAACATACATAGATTGAAATTACGACAGAAACTTCCATATTTAAAATAAATATTTTGAGGTAGCAAACCCCACCAAACAAATTCTGATTATTACTTTCTACAAATTAACACTAATCACTTCAAAACTCTTTTATGACATTAACAAGTAACTTCCAAGAAATTTCTTATCGACGAATAAAAATATTTTGTGAATTTTTGTTGTTTGTTTTGCTAATATCATTATTATAAACTCGTTTAGATAAGCGCTTATTATGAACATAGAGTGGGAGTAAAGTGGGCATTGATGAACCAAATTTTTAAATAATTGAGCTACATGACAGTAGTAAAAAAAATCAAATAACATTGTAACCTCTAAACAATCACTGTTATATCGTACACCTATATAATATGCAAATAATTGACTGCATGCACATATTGTACATTGATTAATTATATGATGCATCTTTGGTAGAAATCTGAAAGAAGATGTCAAACCATCAATTTTCGACTCTTAGTCTTAAATTATTGTAAGGTTTCGTTTTACCTCTTAAGGGGTTTCGTTTTTTTTCCAGGCATTAAAAGTTTTAGGAAAAAAAAAGGATCATAAGCAGCCCTATTTGATAGACTTTCTTTCCTGCCGTATGAGAAATTTATTTACCTACCACGCCATAGATGCCTGCAAAAGTCTTGAAAATTTTTGAATTCGTAATCCTAATTTTAATTATTCTATATCCAATCCTAAGCTTAGATAATCTCTTGATAATTGTTTATCTTTTTGTGGCCTTTCAAAATTATTTAATGAAAAACATTGTCATTTGACATTTTCAGGGAAACGGACTAAAAACAGAAGATGCCTGCTTCCTAACAGTTGATTCTGTCTATAAAATTATATTATTTTCTTTTAGACTAACATATTAAAAATAGCGTATTAAAAAAAACCTACTCCTCATTATCCAGGTAGTCTGTTATATGAAATTATTTTAAGTCCGCTTTACAGCCGTATTTAAAAATAATTCCACTTAGTCTCCTGTGATAATAAAAAACTGTGATTCTTAACTTTTTTAGGGCTCTTTACTTTAGTAGAAATTATTTCGTTATTATTTTTACAGTAGAATCTAAAATCTCTATAATAAAACAATTCTCTACTATCTGTGTAAAGGTGATTAACATTTTTATATACATTTAACGACCTCTTGAATTATCACAATAGTATATTTTAGTAATGTATAATGATTTATAAGCTTTATTTTGTCTTCATCAACCGTTTGTTACTTACGTGGGCTTGCTCGTGAATAATGTAATTGAACGAAATCAAACTATCACATTCTCCAATAATCTTATACAATCTTGCAAAACTTTCAATCACATCTTAAATCATCCAAACTTCTTATTCAATCGTTGATTACCATGAGTCTGTTATTGAGACTCAATTGATGAGATAACTACATAGTTTATTAAACTTTCGCCAGAATTAATGCATCCGCTACAATTTCAGTTTGCATAATTCAAGTAAGTTAAAATTACATATCGAAATGTTGTCTTCAATAAAAGTTACTCAAAATGTTATTCTATTATTTTGTTCGAAAATGTCTGCTCTAACAATCAACAATATTATTTTTTTATTTGTATTTGTATTTACAAACATGTATTTTATAAGTTCAGCGTTGTTGTATATAGTAAAAAGAGTATATGTACAACTAGCTTTCCGCCCGCAGCTTCGCCCGCGTGGAGTTCGGTTATATCGCGTTTCCAAGAGAACTTTTCAAAAGTCTGAGATAAAAATTATCCTGTTTTTTCTCAAGGTAAACTCTATCTCTGTACCAAATTTCATTAAAATCAGTGGTTCAGTGGTTTAGGCGTGAAAGCGTAACAGACAGACGGACAGACAGAGTTACTTTTGCATTTATGCCATTGTTATCCTAACATCGGGGCAATCATGTAGTCTTAGATATAGGTTATGAGTTTTAACATGTAATTCTTATTTTAATATACATATATGTAAGTATGTTTCGTAATTATCCTGGAACCTCCGGTTGCCACCCTATATAATTCACATGTACAAGTACGAGTATGTAAATATGCTGCATTTTTAGAAGACGTAAGAGTGTGCGAATATATTGTTAACGATGTTGTTTTAAACTTAATAAAACAAAATAAATTAAATACTGATTTTTATTCAAAAACTATATACAATATTTCTTTCCAAGAAAATATTTTTATTTACAGTTTTATTTTAGGGCAAGATTACATAATCTATAATGTCCTTACTTAAGTTATGTTTACATTAATTAATTATCAAAATACAATAATAATTGATATTTATAATTTTACCAAATATTCTGCAAACAAACACATAGATAAATTGTCAAATATATTTTATATAAAAATAATGATCTTTTTCGGTTACTACTTTATAACAAGTCTTTGTAAGTTAAATATTATATTTATTATAAAATTATGAATTATAGTAACCATGAATGAATATATTTTCATAAAGCATAAAGAATTATAAGTTTATAGGTTTGAAACCAATCATAAAAACTCCATAATATTGGTATTTCCATAAAAAAACCCCAAAAATTTTTCTAATAACTAAATAGAATAAAATTTTAAGGATCCCCTACGCATTAATTTTCATTTAACGATTTTACTGGCACAACATTTTTTATCAAGTAATCATAGGCGAACTATTCCAAATATCAAAGAAACAGCTGGTACATACTCTTACCATTTACGACCAAATATTGCTAAGAATTACGGCAAAAAAACTGGCTTCCCAATAACAAAATTGCATTGAATTTGATTGACCTATTTAAAAGATACGAGGTCTCAGATAGACAGACGAACACATATATTACAGGATGTACTTGTAACTGACATTTGAAAGTAAAGTGAATCGTGAACCTGTATTTGAAATACAAATAATACTAAAAACCCTTATGTCTAAGCCACATACCATTTATAACTAGCAAAATTTGAGGTAAAACTAGGTGGAATAATTCCATACACAACTGAGGGTTTTTATAGACTTGAATTCTCGCTTCAAAATTTTGTTTCCTCAATAATATACATACTCTTCATTATTCATTAGGGATGTTTCCCAGGGGCGTCCCTAACATATCGTAATATATTATCTTATCACATATTATCGTATACCTAAATCAGTCATTTCAGATCAATTCATCTCTTGTTAAGTCTATACCACAGGATAGTGCAAGTTAGAACATGCATTAGAACTGTGGTAGCTAGCACTATAGCCATATTGATGCCCACGTCTATGTTGGCCATATCCATTTCTACGAGGAATTTGTTTGGTGTTATGTAATGGCAATATTCTGGAAAAGAAAAATAATATTTTTACAATACTTTTATGGCCGGTGCTTTTTTATATTGAGAAGAAAAGTTTATGGAATAAATGTTGTAGCTTTATTCTAAATATCACTGTTTTTTGTTACTATCATCACTGTTGATTTTGAAAATCTTCAAGAATTTTCATAGTCTCACCTTTGGAACAATGCATTTTGGTTCTATTAAATCCATAAACAGAATGGACGGCGACATGAAAGCCTGCTCTAAAATATGATATGTGATGAAGCCATCTAAAGGAGTAAGGAGTGTCCCGAAGAGAGAGACAGAATCCAAACACGGAGAAAAGACAGGCCAGCACTGGACCGATGAATACCGCGATCTATAAGATAAAAATCTTATTTAAAAAGCCGCTAGTCTGATAGTTAAAATTGAATTTATTAACCGTAAATATAATTTTTAATAAAAAAGATACTTTTTTGTCTTTAAAACATACACACGTGTTTTTTCACAGCTAACAATGTCCCACATATACATATAAAGGAATGGACTCTGGTTATGAATAAAAATATCAGCTCATGTAGTTTCGTCTAGTTCAGCTATAGTTCATTGAAAATAATTAATAGGTAATTAATTCATCTTTTTATTTATTCCTTTTGGTAAGAGTTTGGACATAGCATTCTGACGATATACACTTTGTATGGACAAATCATTTTAACTTGTTGAACAATAGAGACAAAAGTTAATATATACCTTTGTCGGTGTGGTTGAACCTATAAAGTAACCCCAGGCCTGCGCACATAGTGACGTCGCTACGACCGTCGCAAGAAACAAAGTAGCTCGCTGAGGTTCAAGAGGATTATCAGTCAGCCAGTAGGAAAGCACCACGTATGATACACAAGATAACATCTAGAAAGAAACATAATATTTACATATTGAAATACAACATTGCTGAATAAAAGATTAATTAATAGTGTAATGTCATATCATTGAGTGAAGTGAGGCGATACGTCCACCAAATGTTTATTATACTTATTGATGTGTTTGATATTATATATTTTTAAAATTTAAATATTATTATGTGATAATAAAAAAGTAGTTTAAATGTTTTACTTCTATATTTTTTACATGCATAGGTTTTATAATATGTTTAAGAGTACAAAAGCGTAGATTTAATTTGATATAAAATAGTAACCTGAAAAGGCAGTTCTACGGCTAAAACTGAAAATATATAAGGTCCCAAGTTGTACCATCGATTGAAGTATTCGCCTTTAAGTATATCCATTTCAAGTGGAACTGCAAAGAAAAATAAAAATAAATATAATACTGTATTTATAATCTACACTTAGGTTTAATATAACGACTTTTCAATGGCATTAAACATGAAATCTAGATGTATATCTACACTATATATGTATATTGCATACTATGTCCAGATTTATTGTTAAATGCCAATAAAATTAAATTTAATATTTTACAAACATCATCTGCAAGAACAAGTTATTATTACACCACATTTTGTAGTATTCTATTTATAGGAGCAAAAATTAATTTTTATCTTATTTGCTTACAAATTTTAAGATTGACTTCTATAAAGTGAAGTTAATCTTGTTTATCTTTTGCTGTTCTATGGATAAATTGATAATATTACGTGTTTTTGAAAGTGACCTTACAAAAAAGTACTTAAACTAATTTTTACTAACCATTTCTTTTTATATAATTTTATTTTTCCTTTAGTTTCAGATACATAATATAAGAACCTGATGAGAGGAAATTTACAAGGAGTACTTTATACTAAAATTTTAATAAGTGATACATATAAAAAAAAATTAAATCATAACGTCTTTATAAATATTGGTTGATATTTAGCGGGTTTTCGCCCGTCGCTCATTATATCGATTTATTGTGTTTATGTACGAGTAATACTTCTTAAAAGAAGTTCAATACATTTATCATTATTCAAGTGAATCGTATATAATCATATACTACTTTTATATTATACTCACAAGACAATGTGACAGACATCTTGCCGGTATACACAACTAGTAGCATAGATCCATATAGATAGACGTAGTTACCGAGCACGCTACTCGCCTCACTTCCGACACCGAGGTAAAGATAACCAAATATTAGTGCTATAACTACATGTGCTGCCACTCTGTACATGAAGAGAGACTGAAAAGAAATAAATAAATCATATTATTATTAATATAACAGTAAGTTTTTTATAAGTATCCTTAGCACTTTATGTTCCTTAGCGACACGATTATTTCTGACTACCTACTCTAAAATTAAATCTCATCTTTAGCTTAAAAATAAATTTATCGATTATAAGATGTAATCTTCGCTAATATGATATTTTAATGGTCGGTGACATAACCTTTTAAAATATAATTTGTATTACGTTACATTTGAAAAGGTGAAGTTGATTAGAAAGGTTAAGTTTACTTTATATCACTATTTTATAATTTAAAAACATAATTCGAAAATACAAATACATTTAGTTCATTTCGAAGTAGAACATTTTAAACTAAGGTCATTCACTGCTATCGCAAAATTTATGCAAAATATTTTCTTTGTTTAAGAAACACAATGTTAGGTATTGACATAAGCTAAGAAAAATATTAGACAAATCTCAGTATAATGACTTCAAATTACTTGTAAAAAACTCAAGTTATAATTAATCTGCTGATAAAACATATTAACATATTTTAGCATAAATACTCTTACTCTTTATATTAATCTTTTGTTTAATAAGACCTAATAGCTTTGAAAGCGTCACCATGAGGGGTGGGTGACCCGATGTGACCTAGCCGATAAATTCGGGCCTGAAGGGCCCGGAAATTATATTTATCGTGTGAAATCTATTAAGAATGTTTACATATAAAGAACAATTATAACATTATATTAATTACGTTATGTTACATAAAATATTAATTTCATTACTCACATAGTTCCTGGTTGTTATAAGGTAATTCCTATAAAGTAATATCCAAGTCTGTTGCCAACTACTCGAAGGTCTATAAATATGTTTCGCTAAATTCTTTTGATGCTTCTTATTGCTTCGTAGTTGTTTATCTTTCATTTCTGTGTCAATGCCTGCAATTGAGATTAAATATGAAATGAATATAAATTTCTAAAATGACAGATGCAAATTAGTGTTAAGAAACGGGTCTGTTTCATTATTAACTAATTGGTTATTATAGAATTTACTTACTAAGAGTATTTGAGAACGTGGAAAGTACTGGTACATTGTCATCAAACTCCGTCGATGATGTGGATTCTGGTTTGTATTGAAGCATAGTTTTTGCAGCTTGTTTTAAATCAATATTGTATTCTCCCGACGCTACCTCCATTACTGAAATAAAACATGTCATATTTAATAATAAAACACCAAAACTAAAACCACAAAAAAAATCTAGTTCCTATCAATTGTAAGAATCAAAAAGATTGTCTTATCTGTAAGATAATTTGGTCATTAATCAAAAAGAAAAAAATGTAAGTAACAATAATAAGCTATATAATATACTTCTTATATTCTATTTCTTAAAAATGAATACTCTCTTTTTTTGAAAAAAAATTGTTGCATATCACAATGGCTTTTTTATATCTTTCCTCGGCCTTGTTATTATAGATATTCTTGAAAAAAAAATATTCTTAATTAATTTTTGAATAAAAACATATTGCTTATTGTTCTAATAGTAAGTAAGACAAGTAAGACATAGTAAGACAATTAGCAATTATTTCTCACAATTGTTCTGCTTTTTGAATAAATTAATGTATATGTTTTTATAGTCTTTGTAACTTTAAATTTATATTTATATATATTATTTTAATGAATATGAGAAGCGAAATGTGTTAGTTTTGCCAATAAGTTTTATTACTCAATAAATCACTTATTTATTATAAGTAAATCGAAGGTCAGGCTTTGATTGTGGTAGTTTTGTATTACTAGAATTTATTTTACGACTAATCTTATGTTAATTATAATTAAAAAGTGATAATAATCAATGAATAGCCTAATTACTTATTATTATCAACGACATTGAACAGATATAAGTTAAAGCGATTCATCAAATGAATTATGAAATCTTGAAAAGAATTACGAAAAACCTGTGTTGTAATTAATTTTGTTTAGAAAATATTTCATTTCTTTATCTATCTGTCTTTGTACAAAATTTAACATATTTATTTGTCCGGATATACTTTCGTTATTTAACAACTTTTAGGTTTCCATAATTAAAATACCCACACGTTAATAACATTAAGAACGTCAGCAACTATTAGAGATTGAGCATGAAAATTCTATAATGTATACAGACAAGCCTTTTTTCTACAGCAGTGTGAACTGCTGAAAAAAAGAGGTAGCAAATTATATACTATAGCTATCATATAATAAAACTTACAGAAATCGGCTGGGTTGTGATATGGTGGACATCTTAATCCAGCGGAAGCGAGTGCAGGCAGAAGATGTTCACGTGGTCCGGAGTATAGATTATTACCAGCAGCGAGACAGTACACAGTATCGATGTTCTCGAATAGCAACGCTGAAGGCTGGTGGATGGTGGCCACTAATGTTCTACCACCTCTTGCCAGACCGCTTAGTAACGCGATAAGAGATGCCGACGCAGACGAATCTAGACCGCTGAATGAAATCGAAATTGTTATTAATAATTATTAATAAAATTTAAGACCGATTAAAGAAATATAATTGACATAGCGACATATAAAAATATATAAACTGGTTATACAAGTCAAACCCTTTATGAGAAGAGTAAAAATAGTTATTAGGAAACATCATAAATTTAATAGTTATGATACTCATGTGCATATTATATAATTAAAACCTTCAAATATATAAATCTATAAATATATGGAATGGTTTACTTACGTGGTCGGTTCATCAAGGAACAATAAAGAAGGGTCCGATAACAATTCAAGTGCGACTGCAAGCCGTCTTTTCTGACCTCCAGATAAATCTCTACACAGAGTCTGTGTCGTTCCACTTAGGCCGAGGAGAGCAAGAACTTCGTATACCTGAGATTATAATTATATAAACATTCAATTAACAACCTATTATTAATTTCATTACATTGAGTATATGAAGTTACTAAAGCCGTTTGATTCTTGTAATAAATATTGCATATTAGTTGTATTAATTTATTTTTATTGTTCTAAGATAGATCAGCTATCATAAAGCTGTCATTTTATTATTTTGTAACTGGAAGCAAAACGTTGAGGTAAAATATTAAACTACAAATTATTTGTTTCTAAATGTGATCGATGTTGAATAAATTTGTGCGACCGTATCTAGCTATTACAGCTATTATATAATATACATATAAATTGTACGCTTTCACTAAAGCTTACTTTCTCTTTGCGTTCATGTGAAGCGAAGTCGGCCAGTTTGAGAGCGGCAGCGAGTGACATGCATTCGTAGACGGTAAGATGTACTCGGAGATCGTCGTTCTGTCGAATGTAACGAGCACTGCCACGGCCCGTTGATTTTGAAGCACAGGAACTAACTCCGTTGACCGATATTTCGCCTTTCGCACCTTTTGTACTGATATGAACAAGTTATTATGTTAATTTATTTCCATCACGCTTATACGTTAAAACATTGTTTGTTTACTGTTAAAATAACTCACGAGTAACCGGCGAGGATATTCAACAATGTTGTTTTGCCAGCCCCAGAGGGTCCCATGATTGCTGTCAATTCACCAGGTTTTAGGCACCCATTGACTCCTTTTAAAATACGTTTCTGTTCTGTAATAAAGAGAGAATATATCGAATTAGTATACAACATTTCTTAAAGACCCTAACACGTGGATTTTGTCGTCATGATTTTTTTTGACATTGAACTACCTGTTCCATTGTTTTTTTTATAACATTCTTCGGTGGATTATAAAAAGCAACGATTGTATTTCAATGAATTATCTTAGAATGAAAGGAGAACAAAGGAACACGCAAGAAGAATTTATTGAGTTTGAAATACTTAGAAATTAAATAAAAAGGACATTCCTTGTAAAAATAGGTAATTATTGCATGCGGATCTTTTAACAAATAAAATTTGTTAAGTAAATGTTATAAAAAAAAATATGCAATTTATATAAATCTATGATTTGTTTGTGAACAATCCAATTTTTAATAGTTTTAATAGAAGTTAACTAAGATATAATATCAAAATACTTAATAAGTGCTTCTTTACTTGGATAGCATTCTGTAAAAGTTATTAATATCCATTAAAAATTGCACGTTTCTCTCGAATTGTTGGTAAATAAATTTTCCTAAATTCCTACTTATAAACTTATATTCCTAAAACAGAAACGTCCTATATACAACTGACCCTTCGATGTGTTTGTAAAAATAAAATGACATTAATAAATTTCGAATTCATAAGAATATTGTCATAAAATATAAACCATTATTTATCAGTGATTTTTGTAAAAAAGAAACTAAATGTGTGTCATTAATACTAGAGAAAACATACGTACACAATTTTTATAACGCAAAGTATACAAAAAAATGAAAAAAAAGAGAGTTGAACATTCACTTTTTTTACTACCTTTCGTTTAGAAGAATGTGGTACCTGACCATATTTTGACTAAGGCAGTGTTTTCCAAATATATGTGCATTCTATATTTTTTAAGAGTCTATACTATGGTAGAAGAAAGAATAAATTTTATGTATGAATGCCTCTGTTTGACTTGTATTTTAAGGTATTGAATTTGAAAGAAAAATAGATTTTACCGTTTCAATTATTGTTTAGTGTGATGATTATTTTTATAACAAAATTTGTGTTTTGTCTTCGAATGTCGATAAGTTGATATCGTTACATTGGGTACGCAATAAGATATAATAATAATATAATTTTTATAACAAACTAAGTCACAACGAAATATATAAAATAAAATCTGACATACAATTTTTATGTGTCATTATAAATGCTCTTTCAATACATATATCAATATTTCTTGATAAATGTAGTGTGATGTTACCAAACGGTAAATGTATTTTATTTACTTAAGTTTGGGTATCGTTGGTATAAAGAGGGGCGTTAGTAGACACAGTAACCGCGTGTCAATATAACGTTGGTTTCATTCTATTAGTAAAATAAAAGTAGCTTAGTAATCTTGATTTAGAATTTACATATAAATAAAAACTCAGTATACCTTTATACATATTATGAGAAAATAGAAATGGAATATGAAAAAAAATTGGTCAAATCTAAGTCGGAGAAGACAGTGTGATTAACAAAGTTAAGAGCAAAATAGTCTAAATTATTTTATAATACAATACAATAACCTATCTTTGTTCTCTGTATTTATCTTAAAAGAAATATACCCGTCTGTTCGATTATTTGTGTCTCACCTATGGCCTCGGCAAATATTTTTTGAGTGATATTTAATAACAATAGATGATTGACATAAATCTCGTGTAAATAAAAAGTATTGATATAAAATTTAAATATTTACATTTATAACTTCTATCAATAACATATCTGTAGTCAAGCGGAAGGTAAATATTTATAATGGTTAGTGAACTTTACATTATATTTATAAGGGTAATTATTGAGGTAAAATTGTCAACACATAATTTCATACAATTTCCGAAGGAGATGCAGACTATAACTAAGATAATATATTTATGTGTGTGTAAGTACCTATCCATTCTATAGTTATTATGTTAAGATAAAAAATACCAAACATTAATTTATGCATATTTAAATATTTATAGCATGTGATTGGAATACTATTTGTTTACTTTGAAAGCGCCTGACTTTGTACGCAGAATTATGATTCACTGCATAACAGTTATAATATACGCAGTGCTCTTACTATATATGTATATGTTCCTACGTCTCTTACTCTTAATTTTGTTAACAACTCACTGTTGGTTCAGATCAGGAAGAATATGACCAGGGTAACCGAGCGAATCGTCTAGAAACAGGTAGTTATAGACAATAACGTCAATTTTAATACGAAAGGTTTAAATTTTATTTTAAATCTCCATATATCCAAAACTTCCTGAATTGATATGTTTTTTTACTTTAAAAAATATTTATAAGCTTAAATAATATAATCTTATTTATAAAAATACACTAAGTACACATATGTATTTATTTCAATCTATACTTTATATGCGACTGTTTTTAAAGTCATTACAATTGAGATTTATATATAACTGGCTTTCCGCCCGCAGCTTCGCCCGCGTGGAGTACGATTATACTGCATTTCCAAGAGGACCTTTCAAAAGTCTGGGATAAAAATTATTCTATGTTCTTTCTCAAGGTCAACTCTATCTATGTACCAAATTTCATTAAAATCACTTCAGTGGTTTAGGCGTGAAAGCGTAACAGACAGACAGAGTTACTTTCGCATTTATAATACATATAATTAGGGATGCTTTTAAAGTGTAAATTTTCATAATTTTTGTATGCATTTCATTTAAACAGAACCTTTTTAATTTGGAATCTATTAGATATAATAGTGATGTTAAAATTACATTTAAGTAAAAGCTTACTGATTATAATTTTTTAAATGTCGTTTCGTCGTCTTTAATCTTTCAATCTTCATACACGTTTCGCACAGGGTACAAATGACGTCAAATGTAGCGTGTATTGCGTCCGATGAATAAATAATTCCATGCCGATTTATATTGATACATTCGATGACTGAACTACGTATGTACATGGAATTTTTAATATATATTTTGACGATTTCATTAAAAAAAATCTGGTATCAAACAAAATTAATGACTTCGGAGGCGAAGGTATATAAGCTCCTATATAATATCGATTTATTTTAACTCGGTTCAGAGTACAGGTTAATAATACCGGCAGTTGATTATAATATTTTTCCTATTTATGGACTGACAAAATTAATACATAAAAAAATATTCAGTTTAAAGGTCAAACAGCTAGGTAAAAAAAGGATGGTTCACTTAAGTATAAAAAAAAAACTAATTAATCCCATCAAATATAATATCTTAATTATTATTATAACGAAAGCTATTAGTCTTATTAAAATATACAGAAGTAATGCTCATACCTCGAATTATAAATTCAAAGCGTTTAATTTTTTTTATTAAAATATTGTATCGCTATTTAAACCTTTAAAAGTTTTCAACAACGTATTTAATAAAAAAAAATTATATTTTTCTCACTAATCGGATCAAAGACATAGTATAATTGTTTTTCTATATCTGATCTTTATACTATTATATAACACTAGTTTATTTAATCAAAGAAGTCACGACTCTGTTCTGTGGGAAGGTAATAAATCTTTACACCAATCATTTAATGATCATAGTCGTAATGAGATGGTCTATAAAATATACTACTATACTGTATACTTTAAGAGGAAATTTACAAGATGTTTTCTTATTATATATAAATAACTTAATATGAAAGTTTAAGGTCAATAAATAATGAAATCCTGATGATGATAAAAATAAAGAACAAAAAATGCTCCTTTTTAATTTAAAGTTTTCATTCCATGTCATTCATTTCATTGTAATTATACAGTGATACACTTTATAATTATGCCTCAAAGCATTCCGGTAATAAACTTTAATAGCTACAACTCACTACGTTTAGTATTTTTCAATCGTTTATAATTATCCAACACAGTATATTATTAGCCAATTGTCGCTTTGTTTCATAAGTTACCGATTATTATTAATAAGCAAGGATGATTTATAAATTTAATATCAAGAATTTAAACTTATCAATATACGTAACTCCTTAACTTTTTAACATAAATTATAATTTTGAAAAAGGAAAAACAAACGTAAAATTTATGTATTTAAAATAATAAGAAAATAGTGCTCAAAAGAAACAGTATTACTGGAATCATTACTGAATAGTAATATTAGATAAAATAATTATTTGTCGTGCAACTTTTACTATATAAAATCTTCAGTCATATTATAATATTGTATAACATTTGATTTCGGATTCCGCGAATAATCTATACATATCATTGATATATTAGAATTCATTACTATTAAAATAAAGTCTTTGTAATGAATGTAAATTACACAAATATTTTAATTAAAATCATTCACATTATGACACGCACGTGTTGTAAATAAAGTATTTCCATTCATCGCTATTAAAACATTTCTCAATTACAACAGCGTTAAAACAAACAATAGTAATTTTTAATGAGTGTTACCAGTAAATAGTCACGCATAAGTGAATTGTAGATAATGAAATAGGATGGTAACACTTTTGTGAAAACGTATACTAATAGGAAATGATTATAGAGTAATTCATTCACATATTTTGTCATAATCTGATTCATGAATATTCAAACTCTTACTAGAAAAACAGGTCAGATAGATGTATTCTTCAAGGTCCTGCTCATATGTATTGTATGTTGTACGAATCGATATTTATTTAAGTATCTGTGGAAGTCAAAATGTCTTTTTAATTTAACACAGTTATACCTTTGTTACATTGACTCCCAACTTTCACGTGAATGACCGGGTTTTAGATGGTAAGCATTGAAGTATTGCTAGTCATAATGCTCTCCTTGCATAGAGTTCAATATACATAATATCATTTGTGATAATTCTTACGGACGTAACTTACCTAGATAATTATAATTTAATTTGACTGAATTGAAAAGGTGCAGAGTAAATAGATAGTTAGTATATATATATATATATATATATATATATATATATATATATATATATATATAATTCATTTTTTTAATTTTCCATTATGAAGATTTCCATTCTAATTATTGTTTATTATT